TATCAGTTTGTGTGCTGACACGCTTCCATACCAAAACGCTGTCAGAAATCTTCTCGCGCTATCTTCCTTTATATCTCTTTTGACAAATCGTTTAAGTTGTTACATGTTCCAGTTTTTTTCTTCTCATAATGTGTTCACAAATGAATACTCAGTAATAGGAGTGACGATAATTAGGAGGAGGAGGAGGCACAACGAGGACTGCGACAATTTTGCACAGGATTAACACGATGCAACAGAAGAACAAGAGAAAGATACTTGATGTACTCTTCAACATCTATCTGTTCATTATGTAGCAGGTCCTTTACAGCAGTTTGCTGAAAGAAACTCGGTCTCTCGTCAGCTTTCCCGCTTTGTGTACTTTCATATTCAAAAAGTCACTTATATCCTGTGCCCATCATCGTGTTGGTCCTGGTAAGTAAAGTGAAAGTAAAGGACCCTATTCCACGCCTATAGGGCATATAGGGCTAGACCTATAATTTATAGACCAATCGGCATAAGAAGATAGCTGATGTGGTCAGCATCACGCCGGCCGCCGCGACTTCCAGGGACTGCACCCGGTACCCACTCAAGGCTGGGTCGACCTGGAAGCCAAGGTCATTTTTGAAAAAAGTCCGCCTCCGCCAGGGAGCGAACCCACGACCTTCCGATCCGCGGCGAGCGTCTAGCCGCTTCGCCACGGCAACTCCCCTCCTTCCTAGTTAGGTTAGTTGCGTATCCTCTACAGGACGTTGCTACTGTGTGGTTTTTCTAGGCAAATTTACGTCCAATAGTTTGCCATTCCTCCTGGACGGTCACTTTTCTTGATACCACTGTCTAAACCAACGCGAGGCCCCTGACCCGCAGATGGGATCGAACCCGGCATCCCGGCATTACGAAGCGTTCGCCTCGACTTAGCCACAGAGCCGACCCTCCTACCTAGCACCATGCTATTATTTCTTCCAATCCGTCGTGGCGCTTCATATGACCCAAATATTTACATCTTCCTGTTAGTTCACCTATATTTATGTGACTGGTTAAGTTCACGTTCGTTGCATGTAGTAATTTTTAATGAGACTCTATTGCAGCAACTTTTTGAGAGTATAGATTCTTAGATGGGGAGAAAGGTTGGATTTTTGTTGTTGTTGTTTTTTTTTAAAAATCCTTTAAGAAAGACCAGGAACACCATTACTATAACAAATTAGTTGTGATTTTCTCCGTTTTGTGACACGATAATTGGTCGTTGGGTTTTTTCGCCTGCGTTAGATGTTACAATCATGAATCATTTGTACTCATTATACCTGTCGTTTCTTTTGGACATTGATCGGGGCGAACCTTGTTCACGTGAACGGTACCAATGGAAGGGAGATACGCTTGAATGGAGCAGGTGTGCGCTTAGCGGAAATCTGCAGACTGGTTGTAACGTTCCAGAAAGTAGAAGACGGAAAAGAAGGCGGAGGGGGCGGGGAAAAAACAACCAATAAACAGCCAGAAGAAAATTATGATGAGACAGAGGAGTAGGAGGGTTCTTTTCTGTTAAGTCACCATTTCAAGTGAGATTTAGTGAAATTCCATAGTGTAGTGTGGTGGGGGGGGGGGGGGTGGGGGGGGGGGGGGTAGGTTTAGGGTAAGGACTAGCGTTAAATAAATAGCGACTACTATTAACATGTCGGCTCTGTGGCTAAGTCGAAGGACGTTGCAGAACCAACCGCAGCAGCCCCTGACTGCTGTGTGGTTTCTCTAGGCAAATTTACGTCAAGTTGTTTGCCATTGCTCTCTGGACAGTCGGCCCCCTGATACCGCTGTCGAAACCAACGCAAGGCGCATGGCCCGCAGCTGGAATCGAACCCGGCAGCTCGGCATTACGAAGCGTTCGCATCGACTTAGCCACAGAGCCAACTAAAAGGTTAGTTGCAAATCCTTTACAGGACTTTGCAGAACCAACCCCAGCAGCCCCTGGCTGTTGTGTGGTCTCTAGGCAAATTAACGTCCAATAGTTTGCCACTGCACCCTGGACGGTCGGCCCTCTGATACCACTGTCGAAACCAACGCAAGGCGCATGGTCCGCAGCTGGGATCGAACCTGGCACCCCGGCATTACTTAACCACAAAGGTCATAACTACTACAACCATGAAATATGTGTACTCAATATACATGATGTTTCTTTTGAACACTGATTGTGGCGAACCGTGTTCAAATGAGTATTACAGGTGACAGAGAGATCTGCATTAAGGAGGTACCAAAAAAAGGGGGAGGGTGTCATTAGTGGGCAGGTTTTAACGTTGGAGAAGGCAATCACACTATGGCTGAATATATCAAGAAAAGTTATAAAACCGAACGAAAAGTATATAAGCAAGCTTCACAATATAACAAATACAAACAAAACGTGAACGTTCAGCTGTTAAGCCTTTATCAGCACATACAAATGAAACAATACTACACAAGAACACAAAATCACTGAATATATTAAGACTGAATATATTAGGAACTAGCTGTACCAGGCCACGCGTTGCTGTGGCCCAGAATGGTGAAATGGAGAGGAAAGAAAATAGCTCTTAGCTAACAGTGTCTGTCATATCTCTCCCCTCGACCCAGTCATATCTCCCTCTCCGAAGGATTGAGAAATCATCCATGGCGAAAAACTTAAAATAGAAATAGTTAAGAACTATAAAATAATATTTTAAGCTCTCTCATCTAACTGTGTCAAGCATACCCCCCCCCCCCCTCCCCCACCCTCATCCTTCCACCAATCATATCTCCCTCTCAGTAGGATTGAAAAATCATCTAATGGAGAAATTATAAAAATATAAATAGTTAAGAAATGAGAAAATTAAAATAATATTTTGAGCTCTCTCAGCTGTGTCTGGCATAACCCTCCCCCCCCCCCCCAGGTCATATCTCCCTCTCCAAAGGATTGAAAAATCATCACCTGGCGAAGTGATATCTCCCTCTCCTACTGAAAAATCATCACCTGGCGAAGTCATATCTCCCTCTCCGAAGGATTGAAAAATCATCACCTGGCGAAGTCATATCTCCCTCTCCGAAGGATTGAAACATCCTCCATGGCGAAATTATTAAAAAGAAATAGTTAAGAAATGAGAACTTTAAAATAATATTTTAAGCTCACTCAGCTAACTGTGTCTGGTATAAACCCCCCCCCCCCCCCCCCCCCCCCCCCCCCCCATCATATCATCTTCTCCGAAGGATGGGAAAGTCACCGTGTAACGAAATATTGTAACTAAATTGAGCTTGGCATCCGTGTCCACCCAGCCTTAAATAGGTAGCATTACCTTGTACAGAGAAGTAAATGTGTAACAGCTACCACATCAACCATCCAGTACCAGTACTACTGCAACCACAACCACCACCACCATCACAACAACAACAACAACTGTCACTACAGTCTGTGTAGGTCGGTGTAGAAAAGAGGAGTTGGCGCCGAATGCTGTCGCCACGGACTATTTAGTCTGATTTTGCCCCGGACATAGGGAAAAAAAAAAAACTTTAGCACGTAACCAGTGATGGGACCCACAGTGAAAAGTACACTATACTCACGGCAGCGGAGAAAAATACCCCGCACCCGTCATCTCTCCCTCTCCGAGAGAACGATTTTTAACTGACCTTGGCATCCGTGTCCACCCAAACTAAAATGGACGGTAAGCCGTCTTAGTTAACAGTTTCTGTCATCGCCGAATAGTTTTTGATCGAGAAGCGTCGCAAGCAGGCTAATTAGGACTTAACTGAAATCTGATGTCTTTGGGCGAAAGGCGCAGATTCGAAGCCTAGCTGTAAACCACAACACAACGTTGCAACCACCCTTTTAGGGGAAAAAGAACAATTATCACCCAGCGGGGAATCGAACACCGGTCACCCGAGTGAAGAATGACATACTTACAACTTTACTACCGACGACTGAAGAGTTTAGGTCAGATATCGCAGCCTAGCTGTAAACCACAACACAACGTGCCAACGGCCCTCTCGAGGGCGAACAAAGATTACTCGTGACATGACCATTGAGCATCACGTCGCCGCTGTCGCAGGCTAGCTGTAAACCCCAAAACCGAAAAAGCGTAGATATCTCAGCCTAGCCATAAACCACAACACAACGTGCCAGCTGCCCAGTTAAGTGCTAAAAAAATTATGTCACCTAGCGGGAAATCGAACACGGTCCACCTGCATGATAGGCAGACGAGTTAACAACTACGCTACCAAACACTCAAGCAAATAGTGGTAATGAAATTACGTAATAATGCAAAGTTCAATGAAAGCTCGGCAGTCAAATATGGCCGATCACATAAAGACAAATCCTGGCCGGCAACAAAACAAATAATGATTTGACCGTTGCAGGAGCTACGTCCTTCGTGTCTGTGCGATTTGTGACCCCCAAAAAAAAAAAAAAACTTTGGAGTCAAAGGCAACGTTGCGTGCAAATTTGAAAGCAATCGGTTCAGTAGTTTCCGAGTTTTTAGCTTACATCACCGGAAAATTAAGATTTTTATTAATATAGATATGCAACTACGCCTTTTTAAACAAAGTAAAAAAAAAAAATGGCCTAGACTCCCAGGTCGATTCAGCCTTACATGGGTAGCAGGTAAAGTCCTGAGAAGTAAAGGCGGCCGATGTGATGCTGACCACAACACCCACCTAGAGTCGATTGGTCTATATAGTATGGGGCTAGCCCATATGCTCTGTACGCATGAAGGCGTTTCCGACTAACAGTCGTTTCTGAATCTCAAAATGTTCCTTATCAAGGTTAACCAACAGAGACCAGATCATGTCCTGTACTCACTCCATCTCTTCCTTCCTCTCTATTCCCGTGTATGTTTATCATTTTTCAATAATCTGGCTTTGCCGATAAACGCGCCGAATCCTATTGAAGCTTTACTTATCAGGTCCGCACAGCTGAACCAGCCTAGCTACCTATGGCGAGGCCTCAGATAAGAGATAACACGTGAAGCTGTGTCCTTTGCTGTGCTTACAGTTCATTCGGCTGATTTGTTATTGATGTTATTTCATCCTGGCAGGTTGAGGCGGTTACAAAGTTACAGCAACATGAGGGGTCGGCGTCACAGCTTTTTGATGAGATATTGGTGAATACTTCTGACGTCAACTTGGCTGTATACCAGGGACCACAGGCCTTTAGGTTCAGGAATAATGGTAGGTCATTTTGCTAGTGCAAAGACACGTAGTTGATCGTGTAGCAGGTCCTTTGCAGAACGTTGCGCCCATCAAGGTCTGCCTTAAAGAAACTCAGGCTCTCGTCAGTTCTCCTGCATTGTGCACTTGACGTCGGTCGCCTTTACTTTCCAAGACATTACTTGGTACCCATTCTAGACTCGGTCGAATTTCAAGGCCAATTCTGACGAAAAAAAGTCCGTCTTCGAACTCAAGATTGTCATGCCGGCACGCGGATTGTATGTAGCCGCTACAACATCGCGGCTGCCTCTTAAGGTTTTTGAATTCCTAAGATTGTGGTAGTGGTAGTATTGGTAGTGGTAGTATGGTGAGTAGTTGTAGCATCACCAATAGTAGCAAAACAAAAAGTGGCAGATATTGGTGGTGGTGGTGGTAGTAGTAAAAGTATTAACTGCAGTAATAGTCGTAGTAGCAGCGGGTTATAATAGAGGTTATAACTGTGGTGATAGTGATGGTGGTGGTAGTAGTAGCAGCAAGAGTAGTAGAAGTCGTAATATTAGTAATTATAGTAGTAGGAGCACAGTAGTGGTGGTGACGGTAGTATAAGTAGTTAGTCGTAGAGCAGCGGTAAAACATCATTGCTAGTTAATTAATACTGGAGGAGAGGGACCGTGGCCTCAGGTCTCTTTCCCAATTTTTATTTAGGAGCGGATAGGGCGACTTAAATATGCTTAAGTTCTTGTCTAAGTGCCTAATAATAATAATATTCAAAATGGAAAACATATAGAATAATATCTTTAAAAATACAAATTAGATGAACCAAAACGTAAAAAGAGACATGTTCGTGTTAAGATACGCCACTCAGAAGCCAACCATTTTATGGGGTAGGTCAATTGGAACAAAAAAAAAAGGGGGGGGGGGGTGCTAGTTGGGATATAACGTCTTGAAAATGGTTGAGGGCCTATCCCCCGTTGGGGCGTTAGAATAGCAGAAGAAGAGAAGAAACTATCTGGGCTAAGACCCCGTGTACCGTTGGGATTTTGTTTTGTTTCGGTTAACACTGACTGTCAGTAACTTCAGAATACAGTAACCCATTCTTTACTGTCCCACAGCCACCTGCCACTGCTAACCTTTGGCTGTCTATGTTACAGATGAGATGGACCAAGTTGATGGCATTATCATCGGGGTGACCTGTTTTATCATCGTATTTGTTCTCGGCGTTCTGGCTGCCGTTCTGTACAAGAAACGAGAAAGCTTCAAAGATATCATCGTCACCAAGGCAACAGTTGCCAAGAGCAACAGTTATAAGTCTAACGTGGGAGGTGAGTTATCTTCTCAAACTCTCTCTCTCTCTCTCTCTCTCTCTCTCTCTCTCTCTCTCTCTCCCTCTCTTCCCTTTCTCTCTCTTTCTGTGTGTGTGTGTGTGAGAGAGAGGATCGTTCAGTAGGTAATATCTGCTGAAAGTTGGATTTGTAGCCTTTATCTGATGACAGGCGTTTTAAATTTTGCCCCAACCAAGATTGCTGTCTGTGGTAGCAACATCTCAAGGATGAGAATCAAACACGTGTCCTTGTCCGAAAAGGTTCGAAGACTAATCCATTACCACGGAATGAAGAGGAATAGCGAGAAGTGCGAGTCTAAATGTTGGGCGAGCTTCAAAGGTTGCTTGAACTGTTATTTAATATCAATGTTAGACATACGAGATCATTTCTTCTGCTGCTGCTGCTGTCGCTTCATCTTCTCCTCCTTCTTCTGCTTCTGCTCCTCCTGCTTCGCCTGCTCCTCCTACCCCTGCTGCTCCTGTTATTTCTTCTTCTTGTTCTTCTTCTTGTTTTTGTTCTTCTTCTTCTCGTTCTTCTTGTTCTTCTTGTTCTTGTTCTTGTTCTTCTTCTTCTTGTTCTTGTTGTTGTTCTTCTTCTCCTTCTTCTTCTCTCTGGATATTCGTCCACCGCTTGACTTTAGTCTTGTTCCGGAGCCTGCGTGCAATAAAATTGTGTAGATCTGACTTTTTTGTATACAGACCGCCGATTACTTCCCTCTCAGCCAGATGCTTCCCGACTTAGAGGAAAGTTTCAGATTAGTCGACTCTTACGACATGCTTGTGAAAAAAGGCTGTGTGTCTGTTCCTATTTTCCCCCACAATGGGGTAGAGGAACCCGCATGAAGTGCGTGTATCTGATACTGAGAACTAAAGGATCATCTCTGGAGCTACTGAGTTCATGCTCTGCAACATCCTTGAGAATGGCTTGCTAATCTCTGGAATAAGACCTCGCCAAGTGGACTACAATTCAGTGCAATAAAGTTGATCTTCTCAATTTAACCTTTAGTCTCTGGCTCTTCTTTTCTCAAAATCTGACGTCAGCGCCGTGAGATGGGCCAAATCTGCTTGATCTAGAAGCGAAACCCTTAACTCTAATCCGCTCCACACCTTCAAATTCACTATAATTGTTCCTAATGAGCGCCAAGTAATACATTTAGCGGAGGTTATCGCAGGTTCGCCGTACTGTCTTCTGGCACAAGCAGGCCTGTTTTATATTACAATAAACAGATCCTTTCGCAATATATAGTGGGTGTGTTCCATACGTTTCCATTCAGAGGAAAAATAAATTTTAATGAAAACCATATATATATATATATATATATATATATATATATATATATATATATATATATATGTGTGTGTGTGTGTGTACATATATATATATATATATATATATATATATATATATATATATATATATATATATATATATATATATATATATAAGGGCTGTACCGAATATTCGCTTCGTATTCGTTTCGGGGCCGAATAGTGGACCTAATAGCTATTCGGTTATTCGGTATTCGGCCGAATAGTGGCGGTCGGGCCGAATACGAATAGTGATTTCTGCATACACTGCAATGGACTGAAATAACTCTCTCATTAACACAATAGTTGCTGTTGCCTAAGTTTGTCCACCGCCTTCTCCAGACTGAGTCGGCCGTCGTCTTTGCCTGCTGACTTGTTTTAGGCATTACAGCAGAGGTTCTCAAACTGGGTGCGTAAGCCAGGGGTGCCGCGACGAAAATCAAGAAAATTCAGCTATAAATTGTGACATTATTAAAGAAGGCAAGAATATTCTTAAAAGTTGAAATTCAAATTGTCTTTCCTCGCCATTGTAAAAAAAAAAAAAATTATTTGTCTCTCATGTTACACACTCAAAGTGTATTATACTGCATAAAATGCCAACCGCAGCGTGCTGACTATTGTCTCTGTGTTCATCTCGACATGCGACCGATTCTCCATCTGTATTCGTGAAGGTGCAGCAGATAAGTAAGCACATTTATTTAAAGGCAATGCGATTTGTGTGTGTGTGCTGTGTGTGTGTGTGTGTCTGTGTGTGTGAAAAGAGAGAGAGAGAGAGAGAGAGACAGAGAGAGAGAGAGAGAGAGAGAGAGAGAGAGAGATCATGTATTTTTTCGTTCTTTCTTTCTTTCTTTCTTTCTTTCTTTCTTTCTTTCTTTCTTTCTTTCTTTCTTTCTTTCTTTCTTTATTTCTTTCTGCATTCTTTCTTTCTTTCTTTCTTATATCAAATTTGAAGATATTCCTAACAAGAATTTGAAGGTGCGTTTAAATTACGTCGAACGAACGGCCAAGCGAACGATGATTTATATGAGAATTTGGCATATGGATAACATCCGATGAGAGATGCATTACTGAAATAAGAAACAGAAAAGGACAGGCAAAAACTGCATTTTATAAAATGAAGAACATCTTATGCAATGTATCTTTGTCATTGAATGTTAGAAAAAGAATTCTTGCTTGCTGCATACATCCAATTTTAACATATGGTTGTGTCCTGGACAATCGGCAGCCGAAGACAACTTATCACAGACATCAGAAGGAGACAGTCATCATTTTTCGGCCATGTTATGAGAAGAGGGAAAATGGAACATGTGGTGACCACTGGAAAAATCTGTGGATGGAGAGATAAAGAAAGACAACGAGGGAAGATTCTTGACAGTCTTGTTGCATAGTATGGAGGGGTGTCAGCACACGAACTGATATATGCTGCAGGAGATCGCAGATTGTGGCGAGGTAAAATCGCCAACGCCAGTCGGCAAGGCACCTGATGATGATGACACACTATTCGTATTCGTATTCGGCCGAATAGTTGGACCCACTATTAGGCCGAATAGTGAAAATCACTATTTGGTACAGCCCTAATATATATATATATATATATTTATATATATATATACTGTTGTGAAAACAGCTCGATGTGTGTCCCCGACTGCTGAATAATATGCATTAACACAGAGTTATGTTTGTAATGGCAGTGGTTATATGTTTATTTTCATTATATCTATATGTGTGTGTGTGTGTTTATATATAATATATGCACAATATAATGTTTAAAACAAGGTAAAGTTATCCTGTGGCGCATTTAATTAGTTTACAGGAAAGCCTGTACGCCTACAAACTATAGATGACTCCGATGCAAGATAAATGTCAATTGACTGGCTAAATCCTACGGTATTCTGGCCTCAATTTGAATTGTCATTTGTGGTTTGAGGTTTGAACAACGGATCAACATCAAGGCACACGATTCTTCTTCTTCTAACTCAAGTCTGCGTCCGAAGAAGATCAGCACAGTGCACAGGCTCTGTAGCACCAGCAAGGATCCTGAAATACTTTGGGTACATTTTTAACTCCAAATTTTGCCAAGGCAGCGCTGGTAGGCTACTCTTTTCGATTTCCAACTGCAAAGGGATTTTTTTACACACGCAACAATGCACACGGGCGTCCGATCTCACTACCCAGACCCGCAGAATTACTAGAAGTCCAAGTCCACCTGAAAAATCCCAGCCCTTACTGGGGATTGAGCCTGGAACCTCTAGCACTCCAGGCGGACACCATGCCTCGCGACCACGCAGCCCCCTTCGGTTTCACTTATTAAATCTCACAGATTTTAAAATTATAGTAAAATAAGGTTCCTTTCAGTAGCTATGCGTTTCTAGTTTTTGAGTAGTGAAGTGCCAATTGATAACTATGCATTTCTGTTTTTTAAACACTAAATATGTATGTATTTTGTACACACACACACACACACACACACACACATATATATATATATATATATATATATATATATATATATATATATATGTGTGTGTGTGTGTGTGTGTGTGTGTGTAGAGTACATATTTTGCACATTACATACAACACATATTGTACACAGATTGAGATTTTGTTGTATGTACAATTTGTATAACATGTTTGAACAACAACAATTTTGAGATATATAAATTAGACTTTCAACCTGTTAATCGAAACAGAAATGGGTTGTAATCAAAGACAATGGAACATGTAATTCGTGATCCTAAACATACACAAATAAGTCGATAATAATATCGTTTTCAGGCAAATCTGACTACTCTAATCAACTAATCGTCTTCTCTGATGAGTGGGAGCTGGACCCAAAGAAACTAACATTCAGCACACTTCTGGGTCAAGGCGCCTTTGGGAAAGTGGTCACTGGATACTACGATGACCAGAAAGTGGCTATTAAGTTGGTCAGAGGTAAGAGACTTCCCATCTCGTTGCATTCTTGTATGTTTGTATACGTATGTGTGTTACTGCTCTTGCATAGCAGTCATATCAGTAGCACTAGAAATTATAATAGTATCTAGACTTCATATTTTAGGTGTCCCTCGTTGTTACGATAATTCTAGTTTCATTATGATTCACTAACGTATCTCTTATCTAGCGTCAGCGGTTTTCCCCCTCATTTTTTCAAAAGCTGAAATTTTTGTTATTTCTGTCCATTAGTTCTGCACAGTGATTCTGTCATGCCGAACTGTAGTATGCATAAGTTACTGAATGTTTACAGTTTAAACTGTTTGGCTGGTCTAGCGTGTTTCTGATCTGTCGTCGTATTGCAAACGGTGTATCCCAGAACTACTTGTATTTCAATAAATATTCCAGTATCCCACCAATACAGATAACAATAAATGAAAGATTTTGAACACGTCGTTAACTTTGAATATCTAGGCTCAAAATAAACAGCAATGGAGACTGTTCAATTCACGTCAACAAGAATATAGCCATTGCAAAGCAAAGCTTAAACTGTTACAATTCTATTGTTCAGCACCAGCAAAGAAATACAAGTCAACAGTTTTCAGAGCATATTCTTCTCTGTCGCAATGAGCTTTTGAGCGGAAATGTTATAGATAGATTCTTGGAGTACCATGGACCAAGAAGAAGCAAAATACTGACACTCTAAAGGATGCGAACATCAAGGAAGATTGGCTAGTAAATAGCAGCTTTTCTCATCATCATCATCATCATTAGGTGCCTTGCCGACTGGCATGGGCGATCATGCCTCTCCACAATCTACGATCTCCTGCAGCATGTATCAGTTCGTGTGCCGACACACCTCCATGCCATGCAACAAAACTGTCAAAAATCTCCTCTCGTTGTCTTCCTCTATCCCTCCTTCCACAGATCTTTCCAGTGGTCACAGCATGCTTTATTTGCCCTCTTCTCATAACATGGCGGGAAGATGATGACTATCTCCTTCTGATGTCTGTGATAAATTGTCTTCGGGCTGCTGCCCATTTCAAAACCTCTTGGTTGCAGCTTTTCTAGAAAACTGAAATATCTGGGCAATATTAAGCGCCACGGTGGATTGGACAGAATGACAAAAGAAGTTAGGGTACCGGAAAAGGTAGAAAGGGGTCGAAGATAAACAAGAATATAAGTGTCCTCTTAGGTAGGAAAGTTCACCAGTCTGGAGAGCTGGCGAAAGATGGCGTTTCTTTGAGGCAAAACCTGATGAAGCGACGTTTTGCAAAGGACCTGCTTGCTGCGTTCTATCAATGGTGATAGTCAAAACATAAAGCGATTTCAATATAACATAACATCATTTTACAACCAAGAGCTACTGCGGTAAACAAGGATGTCTGTGAAATTCGGGTTGGGGGGGGGGGGGGGGGGGTGTTCCCGTTTCTAAGTAGTTAAGCTTTTAAACTCACGCTCTGAAAGCTGTGAGTTCATTTCATGGCTTATATTGTTCGATTCAAAATTAAATATCTATGACCCCCCCCCCCCCCCGCCCCCCCCAAGTTTCATACTTTGTGCGACGCTTTTGGCAGCAGTCTATCTACTATGCGGAGACCGGATATAATTCAGCGAAGCAAGAAAGTGGATCGATTCTCGTTAAATCTTTACACCTTAAACATGAATGTGGTCATGACTAAAACTGAGCTCCAATGAATATGTCCGGTGCAACTTTCACTGACAATCATGCCCGGCTCGCTAGCGTAGTTGGCTAAACCGGATTGCGCGGTGACCGGGGGACGAACTCCTTGTGGTCCGGGTTCACGCCCCGGGGGTAGGCAGAAAAGCCACATTTCTCCCAGATTTACGGTATTTATCATGGAATCAAGGCCGAAGGGTTACGATATCCATAATACCGAGCCTAAGGGTTAACAACTCATGGCTTCTGGATACTTAAAAACTGAGAATCATACCTGCCATAAGGATTATATCGCAACAACACAATACTTTTTTTTTTTTTCAATTAGTGTGCCTGTGTCCTTTCGTGACATCCACAACATTATCGCCATTATCAATCAGCGGGTCCTTTATAAAGTGGCTCACGAGTGCAATGTTTACGCAGATCCTTGGGGATTGTCGCCGGAGCTACGAATTTCGTTCCTTGTGCAATAGTCTCGGCCGGCGGCTAGCCGTTCTGTGTAGAGAGACCGAGCCCTATGGGATAAAACCCGGTGCAGTGAAGTCGATACTCTCGACTGTAACCTTCTGGGAACACATAAAAGTCTTTCTTTCTCTAGCCACTTCTCCAGCCATATGTGCTTTCACAGCTAACGCATCCTCAATGTTTTGTATCCACATTCGCTGAGGTCTGCCTCTGCCTCCTTCTCTAGAAACTGTACCATCTATCACCGTTCTTTCCAGGCTAGTATGATTTCAACATGGCCAGAATACCTCAGCTTTCCGAACTGGGTGTTGTTTATGAACGAGTTCTCAACAACGCTCGGATCTTGTAAGATGTCAGCATTCTTTTTCTTCTTGATGCATATTATCCTAAGAATCTGTTTTGACTCCCCAAGAAATCACAAACAATACTCCCCAGTACAGGCTTTCTATCTCTCCCTCTCTCTATCTCTCCTCGTCCTCCTTCTCTCCCTTCTTTGTGTGACTGTTTAAATCTAGTCCTCTCTTTCTTCTCCTCTCTTTCTTCTTCCCTCTATCCTCTTCCTCCTCTCTCTCTCTTTCCTCGTTTCTCTCTTTTCTCTTCTTCCCTCTAATCATTTTTATTTGCATTTAAAAAGTCTATAACCCTAGACCTTAAAATAAATTACAAGTTCATAATTACTAGCCGCAAGACTTGGGCACTCTAATTTACATAAAGCGTGGTAACAATTCTTTAACTTTGTAAGCATCTAAACCCTATGTCGAATTTTATCTTATGGTCCGTATCTATTATGTTTATACTCCCGTTAAGGAACTTAAGCATCGGCTTGAAATCTGCTCCCTGAAACAGCATGAGATGAAATGAGAACTGGCGCGAAGAGAACTTTGAGTGCTTTGTTATCTCTGAATTCAGGGCGGAATTCCATGAAAGACGCTTTCTACTTTCGCTCTGAAACAGATCCAGGGCTTCGATCTAGATAAGATCTTGTGAGCTTCTTCTGCGGATGCGTATTTCAAGGCACCAGACTTCAGAACACGAAGCTGCTAAAGAGATAGGCTGGTTACGTTTCAATCGGTCCATTTTGATATAAAATAGGAGTTGAAAGAACTCAGAGTTTGCCAAAACATCTTTCAAAAAATATGTGAAGAACAGCAGGTGTTTAGCTTTGAAAACTGTAGCGGTGTGGTAAAAGTACCTCTTTTACGTCAGGTCACATGTCGATATACGGTACCAGCAACTATATTTTTAGGGAGCAGCGGTAGAGTAGTGGCTAGTCACTCACCTGAAGGCCAGGTCCTAAATTCTAATACACACACATATACACACACATGACCTAGTCCCCACAGTGTGCTCGTCAGACGGGACCACAAACACCTCAGCACATTGTGCAGCCTGTTAACTCATATCTTTAGACCGTGCCAGGAGACATGTACGATACATGGTGCTTAACTCACATCTTTAGACCGTGTCAGGAGACATGTACGATACATGGTGCTTAACTCACATCTTTAGACCGTGTCAGGAGACATCTTAGATACATGGTGCTTAACTCACATCTTTAGACCGTGTCAGGAGACATGTACGATACATGGTGCTTAACTCACATCTTTAGACCGTGTCAGGAGACATCTTAGATACATGGTGCTTAACTCACATCTTTAGACCGTGTCAGGAGACATGTACGATACATGGTGCTTAACTCACATCTTTAGACCGTGTCAGGAGACATGTAAGATACATGGTGCTTAACTCACATCATCAGACCGTGTCAGGAGACATGTACGATACATGGTGCTTAACTCACATCTTTAGACCGTGTCAGGAGACATTTTAGATACATGGTGCTTAACTCACATCATCAGACCGTGTCAGGAGACATGTACGATACATGGTGCTTAACTCACATCTTTAGACCGTGTCAGGAGACATGTAAGATACATGGTGCTTAACTCACATCATCAGACCGTGTCAGGAGACATGTACGATACATGGTGCTTAACTCACATCTCTAACCGTGCCAGGAGACATCTTAGATAAATGGAGCTTAACTCACATCTTCTGACCGTGTCAGGAGACATCGTTGATACATGGAGCTTAACTCACATCTCTGACCGTGTCAGGAGACATCTTAGATACATGGTGCTTAACTCACATCTTCTGACCGTGCCAGGAGACATCTTGGATACATAGAGCTTAACTCACATCTCTGACCGTGCCAGGAGACATCGTTGATACATGGAGCTTAACTCACAACTTCAGATCGTGTCATGAGACATCTAAGATACATGGTGCTTAACTCACAACTTCAGATCGTGTCAGGAGACATCTTAGATACATGGTGCTTAACTCACAACTTCAGATCGTGTCATGAGACATCTAAGATACATGGTGCTTAACTCACAACTTCAGATTGTGTCAGGAGACATCTTAGATACATGGAGCTTAACTCACATCTTCTGACCGTGTCAGGAGACATCTTAGATACATGGAGCTTAACTCACATCTTCTGACCGTGTCAGGAGACATCTTAGATACATGGAGCTTAACTCACATCTCTGACCGTGTCAGGAGACATCTAAGATACATGGTGCTTAACTCACAACTTCAGATTGTGTCAGGAGACATCTTAGATACTTAGATATCACATCTTATGGAGGCTTAACTCACATCCTTCTGACCGTGTCAGGAGACATCTTAGATACATGATGCTTAACTCACATCTTCTGACCGGGT